ACTCATTCAACGAGTAGAAAATTCAGATGTTCTCAGACAAAGGAAAACTAAGAGAAGTTTTTGCTGGCAGACGTGCTTGGCTGAAGAAAGGTCTCTGAACGGAAATGAAGTGATGAGAAGGTTTGGAAACTCAGAAAGGAGGAACAGCGAAAGGGAAAAATCGGGGCCAACATGACAGACCGTCCTTCTCTTTGTGAGTCCCTTATGTCATGTTTGATGATTGAAGGAAAAATTGTAACACCTGATGCAGGAGCTCAAGGCAGGAGGAGGAGACAGCCGAGACAATCAGAGCTGACCAGTCAGGGAGCTGCGTGGCAGTGAGGTCTCCGCGCTCCGGGCAAGCGTGAGGCCCTGGGACCCAACAGCCTGAGCACGCGGCATTCTAGAAGCTGTGCAGGTGACGGCCGCGCACCCGGGGCAGAACCGCTGTTAAGACCCGGTGAGGCTGGAAGTGAGGGCACAGCTGTGTCCGGAGCTCTGAGGCCGTGGCTCTCGAGCCCTCGTATACGGCAGGGTGCCCTGGAGCGCCTGGGAGTCACAGCCCACTGGGCCCCAGCCCCGGAGCTCTGAGCCCGCCGGTCTGGGGGGCCGGAGGCGTGGCCTGTCTAGCAAGTTCCCGGCCGAGGCTTGTGCTGCTCGTGGGAGCCCCCGCTGTGACAACCCCGGCTCCAGCATCGCTGGCTGATCAGAGCTCCTGTGTGTCAGCGGAGGGTCCCGCAGATCCTCAGCCTGACAGCCTCACATCCCTGAGTGTGCTGGGCTCAGTGTGTTAGACTAGGAAGCTGGCTAAGTCAGGAGGCCTCGTCTTGCGTCCCAAGGCTGGGTGACCTTGGGCAGGTCCCCCTGCGTCCCTGGGCCTCACCTCCCCTTCTGTGAGATGGGGGAGCCGGTGGGGTCGCCTGCCTGGAGGAGCCCAGTGAGACGGGAGGAGCAAGGGGGGCCCGGCAGGCCCGGCCCGAGCGCCTCGTCCGGCTGCTGTCTCTCCAGCTCGCGTCTGTTTCATGTGTCAGAGTTCACGGAGATTTCCTGTGACGAGGGGGCTCCTCTGCTAAAGCAAGTCTGAGAACCCTGACCTTGACGTTGTAAAAGGCCCTTCCTGACCCCCGTTGGCAAACAAGTGCCCGAGGCAGGTCCCCAGCAGAGGCCCTCCCTCCGGTGTGGCCTGTGCAGGTGTCTTCCGTGTCCTCACTGAGCTCATGAGGACCGCCCCCCAGATGAAAGGCGCCTGGCTCAATCGGCACCCTTTGCTCAGAAGCAAGTCTTACTGGAGCGGGTGGGTAGGCGGGTGGGCGGCTCTGTGCACAGCGCCCGCCGCACCTTTGGATGCTCGGTCCTCGGTCCTGTGTCCTATACACACACGTGGCCCTGTGAACACAGAGGGATGTGACCCGCTGCCCCTCTGAGCCCTCTCGGCGGCTCCCAGGGCCAGCGCTGTGGGCTGTCGCCTGAGCTGCTGCGGCCCCCTGCTCTTTACCGGCCCCCAGGCCACAGGAGGACAGCTAGTTCAGGCACTGGGACAGGCCTCCTCGGGGTGCTTCCCCCACCCCGGGGGGCA